GGTGAGAGGTACCATGTCATACTAGAATTCAACATAACACTAACACAAGCAGCAGAACATAATGACACCAGAGTCTTGGATTTTAAAAGAGCTGATTTCAATAAAGTCAGAGAGAACTTGGGAAAGATTCCATGGATGAAAATCCTAAAGGGGAAAACAACTCAAGAATCTTGGGAAACTCTAAAAAGTATGATCATAGAAGCCCAGACCAGCACAATACCACTGAGAAAGAAAAACAAGAAATCCAAGAAGAAACCAGCATGGCTACACAAAGATCTCTTTGGCAAATTGAAAGAAAAAAAGGACAAGTACAAAAAATGGAAAAAAGGACATACAACTAAGGCAGAATATCAGCAAATAGCCAGAATCTGCAAAGACAAAGGATAGCAAAGGCTCAGAACAAACAAAGACTTGCAACAAAAGTCAAAGATAATAAAAAAAGTTTCTTCCAACATATAAATAACAAGACAAAAATCAAGGAAACAGTCCGTTCACTAAAGAAAGAAGATGGCAAGGAAGTAACAGGTAACAGAGAGAAAGCAGAACTGCTTAACTCATTCTTTGCATTGGTCTTCATGCAAAAAGAAACTATAGCTCAACCCACCAAAAACATAACTGTAAAAGACAGACCAGAAATAAAAATTAAAATAAGCAAAAAAATAAGTAAGAATAATAATAAAGTAAGAGAACACCTGTCTGATCTTGATGAAAACAAATCACCTGGGCCTGATGGATTACATCCCAGAGTTTTAAAGGAGCTGGCAGAGGTCATCTCAGAACCACTGCACCATATCTTTCAAAAATCCTGGAGCACCGGGGAACTACCAGAGGACTGGAAAAGAGCTGATGTGGTTCCCATCTTCAAAAAAGGAAAAAAAAAACAGACCCAGGAAACTATAGACATCAATATCCAGGAAGATACTGGAAAAGATAATAAAAAAACAGATCTGCCGACATCTAGAATCAAGTAAAGTAATAACTAGCAGTCAGCACGGGTTTGTTAAAAACAGATCATGCCAAACCAATCTTATTTCATTCTTCAACACAGTGACTAAATTAGTAGACCAGCCAAATACTGTGGACATAATATATTTAGATTTCAGCAAGGCATTCGATAAAGTAGACCACAACCTACTTCTTAGTAAGCTAGAAAAAAGTGGAATAGATAGCACCACCACTAGATGGATTCGCAACTGGCTGGCAAACCATACTCAATGAGTAGTCCTTAATGGATCTAAGTCTACATGGAGGGAATTAAGCAGTGGGGTGCCACAAGGTTCCGTCTTAGGCCCAGTACTCTTCAATATCTTCATTAATGACTTAGATGAGGGAATAGAAGGGGAACTTACCAAATTTGCAGATGATACTAAGCTGGCAGGAATAGCTAACACCCAAGATGGATCTTGACAGACTAGAACACTGGGCCATATTTAATAAAATGAAATGCAATATAGAGAAAAGTAAAGCCCTACACTTAGGCAAGAAAAACCAGAGGTACACATATAGACTGGGTGAAACCAGGCTCAATAGCAGTAACTGTGAGAGGGATCTTGGACTCTTAGTGGACAACCAGCTAAATAGGAGCCAGCAGTGTGCAGCAGCAGCCAAAAAAGCTAATGCAATCCTAAGTTGTATTAACAGAGGCATACAGTCAAGATCAAGGGAAGTACTAATACCACTCTATAAAGCCTTAGTAAGACCACACCTAGAGTACTGCATCCGGTTTTGGTTATACATTATAAAAAAGATGTTGAGACTCTAGAAAAAGTACAGAGAAGAGCAGCCAGGATGATTAGGGGACTGGAGGCTAAAACATACAATGAATGGTTGCAGGAACTGGGCTTGGCTAGTCTAGTAAAGAGAAGCACCAGGGGAGACATGTTAGTGGTCTTCCAATATTTGAGGGGCTGCCACAGGGAGGAAGGGGTCAAGCTGTTTTCTAAAGCCCCTAAAGGCCAGACAAGGAATAATGGATGGAAACCGAACAAGGAGAGATTTAACCTGGGAACAAGGGAAACTTTCTGACAGTGAGAACAATCAACCAATGAACAGAAGTTGCCCTCGGAAGTTGTGGGAGCGCCATCACTTGAGACTTTCAAGAAGAGATTGGACTGCCATTTGTCAGAAATGGTGTAGGGTCTTCTGCTTGGGCGGGGGGGTTGGACTAGATGACCTACAAGGTCCCTTCCTTCTCTGATTATCTGTATCTGTATCTGTATGCTCTTCATGTTCTCTTCCACCCCGCCATTCTATGATTGTAAATCCCAAGACTGGTGGATAATTTGGAACTCAACACCATCCACGAGAAGACAGTAACAAATTATTTTATTTGGGAAAGAAGACACGATAAGAGCTTTCCACAGAATTATCAGGAATTGAGACTTGACTTTGGTGAAACAAGCTATGTCATCACATAGTTGACTTTGATGGATCTTCCAAAGCTTAAGCAAGTTGGACCTGCTTAGGAAATCCCAGAACTATAGGTTAAATGAAGAAGTCCACAAGCCACCTCTTCTCTAGTATGGCTGAGAAAACACCAAAGTAGTCCCTAGGAGTCAGGCTTCATTCAAAGGAGACTTATAACAACAGCAATAGCACTTAAGACTTATCACTTCACAGTGCTTTATAACCCTCTCTACGCGGTTTTAATTGCCCCCAACAATTTGGGTCCTCATTTTATCCACCTTGGAAGGGTGGAAGGCAGAGTCAACCTTGAGCCTGGTGAGATTTGAACTTAACCTTACAACTGCTCCTAGATCACATTTGGTTATTTAGATCAGTGTTTCTCAAC